ATTCATGCGTGTCAATAATGTAGAGATTTCTAAAAAAAAACTAAACACTAAAAAATCAAGTGATTACTGCGTTATAGATGCATGTTTATTTATGTTCAAATTTAAGTGGTCATTAGATTCTGTTTTGAAATGAACATGTGAATAACCATAGGTATGTTTAAGTGTCACAGTAAACTGTCAAAACAATGAAGTGAAGGACTACAAATTAATTACTAACATTCCCCCGGGTTCCGAGGGGAACATTCAAAATCACAATGCCATTTTATCCTCTTCTCTGTAGTCTTCTTTGTCTAGCTCCAAGATTGTCCATAGTCTCTCACCTCCTCTTCACACTATCTGCTACATGTCACCTTCGAACAGAATCCAACTATTCGTTTCGCATTCGAGTCCCACTCTGGGACAAGGCGCAAGATGTCACTCAACGGTCTCCTTAGCGTATGTCTGATCCATCTCCCCCGAGCGATAGCTGCTACCTTGACGTGATGGTCGGGATCGCACATCGGAATAACCCAACAAGCTGGCTGGAACTATCGTTACTGCAGGTCCTAACATGCCATGAGGGTTGTTAGGATAGCGATTAGACCAAAAGCAGTCACCGGCATTGTGTAAGAATTTGTTTACACTCTGCCGAGGGTCTGTGGGTGAAGTCGTACTGCTGGGGAACAAGGATGTAACAGCAGTGAAGTGTTTCCTTCAGATGACCAGCATGCCAGACAGCTATGCTGTCTCTCCACTCTGGAGAGATGGGGTTAGAAAAGGTCGACCCCAACAATTGTACATCCCGACTTACCATACGGTGGTCCGTAACCTGTGGTAAATTTACTAATAAGGAACCAAATCAAGAAACCAGTTCATACAGGCTGTGTGACTGGCCTCAAGCAGTTGTTCGCTGGGCTTTGTGGTCACGCAATACTAACCCTCTTTGTGTTTCAGGTACCTGAAGAATCAATCAACTTTCACGGTGTGTGCAGCCTGGAAGTAACAACCGCCACACACTTCCAAAAGCACACGAAGCCTTCCTAAGCATCATTTTCTCTTACCCACTTCCAGTAATCCATCTCCATTTCTTTCGGCATATCTATTGGGCAATATGTTCTTGGTTGGTTCGTCGCCTGCCACAGTTCCTTTTTGCTAATCTTTTCCAGCCATCCAATCTTCAGTATGAGTGAATTTTCCGTTTTTAATATACGTGGAAAGAAATGCTTGATCTTTGTTTGCACATTACCTACTAGTAAGAACGCTACGACGATGCCTGGAGACTAACTTGGAGTTATTTTGTCCAGTGCTCCTTAGGTAAGGGAATTCAAGACTCTCCAAAGTTTGATACAATAAGTGTTGGGTTCGAGTCGCAGTGAATGGACGCATCACTCACTCGGATGGAGTTACGTTCAGACGACCAGTGTCGAACATGCTGAAACTAACGTTTTGAATTCCACTGATAGCCACTAATAATCACATATTTTCATTCCAATTATAAACTTTACATGGGTAAATGTATACACAAGAAAAGGTCAGATACGAATAGCAATCAGATCATATAAGATAAGATAATTCGCCTAAATTGATAATAATTCAGGTCAAATATACAGTCCAAATTATTCATTGAGCGAAAACAAATACAACAATGATTATTATCTTGGCCTTAGGCGCCATATATGTCAAACCTTTCAATTCTGAACTCCTATTCTGTTGGTTACATACTTATTAATATTCTATAATGTTTGGTTTCACAACATTCATTTATTACTGTGACCAAACATACTTAAAATCCACTGAAATTATTAATCCAATCATCATTGCTGTTATATTTACTCTGTTATGCAAGCAAATTAACCTAAACATAAGTACAGATTACTAAGGTTTAAAATTGGACTGACAATAAGAAACTCCAGGCACAGTTACCGATATATAACATTGGCATTTGAAAAGACAGGTTGCTGGGGTCACATCATGATTCAAAGAGATGCACGTACGCACCCAGCTGACGAGAACGAACGCGCATTTTTATATCCATCACCAATCACATGACGGAATAAAAATTTATTTATTTCAATCCTATTCATTTTTAATTTTAGCCTTATGGGATGTTTGTAATCCTTTGCTTCATAGGCTGAACATACACATCGTCATTTAAATGCTTTTTTTAAAGTAGATCCTATGAGCACTTAAATCTGAACATTAAGATACATCCACGTCTTATTTTGACGAAAACAGTAGTAACATGATTTTAATGCTCACTTTGTAAACAGAAGTCCCTAGTGTTAAATGAAATGACAGGAAATGTCATCAATTCAGTGCCTCTAGATGATTCAGAGGTTTGACGAGCGCGTCACCAGAAGCATTTGCAACAGGCAACTGCATACTTCCACCAACAGCTGACTTTGCCGACTCGACAATGAAGATCAACTGGCAAGAAAGGATATGTAACAAGAAACTCTAGTAGGTGACAAACCAAATAGAAACCTATCGCCCTACAAATATGCTAAAAGAAATGGAGAGAAATTGGACATACGCTGAGGAGACCGTTGAGTGACGCTTTTTGCCTAGCCATATAGCCCAATTCGAATGGGACACGATGAGGTGGCTTCGGTCCGAAGATGAAATGTAGGAGATAGTGTGAAGAAGAGATGAAACCATATGGGCAATCGTGGAACCAGACAAAGAAGACTAGAGAAAAGAGGGTGAAATGGCAATGTGCTCCCAAAGTACTAAAAACAATATGACAATAAAAAGTAGTGATGTACGTCATAACTCTACGCACAAATCATGTAATGCTGAATAAAACGTTCAATAGATATCAAGACAGTTAAGTAGACTAAAGAAATTCACGAGTCAGCTTGCAGGAATTTGATTTGCTTCAAGTTTGGATCACGGAATGATGTCAATTAGAGAACAAGTGAAAAGCAGGGAGACTACTGGACAGCAGTTTCGTCCAGGTTTGCGACTCACTGGCAGTACGCGCCCACCGGCTTTCGAAACCAGGACCTTCTGGTTACATAGCAAGATCATAGACCATTCAACCACTGGAACCCGATTCTATGGCTCATGAATTCCACCTCCTATCAATTCGTGGTTTTAGCGCAACCACCAACCAAAGTCATCGGAGAGCATTCGTCCTTACTCCCAACCTGGTGGACCCAAATGGTCACGACTTCCCACTAGAGCTACAGCCAACTTATTCCTGTTCACAAATTTGGTAGAAGTTAGAGTTCATGGGCCACTGGATAGGATCCCACGGACTAACTGGTTTAAGATCTTGGCTTGTAACCAGAATTCCCAGGGCTCGAATCTTGGTGGATGCGTGCTGTTAAAGAGTCCTACACTGAGATAAAACAGCTGTTCAGCAGCTCCTTATTTACTGACATCAATCGGGGATCCAACTTTAAGATATTCAGTTAAACAAACTGTTGTAAATCCTGACGGGTCTTTTTCAGAACAAATAAACTTGTCTTTTGATGACGTGAACTCAGAACAACACAAGAAGTTTGATAATTACAAGCCTACCCATCAAAATCATCGAACAGCATGTATCAAAGAATCAGGAACATAATTCTAATGGCTATTTTAAAATTAAAAAAGCCAATATTTAGCGAAGAGCCTCTCTTTCCAACGAAATAATTATCATCCGATTTTTTGAAACATACACATATGTCCCATGAGGAAACATACACAATAGGCTTCCAAAATAATGACAACAAACTTAATTAGGACAAAAATATTTATAGCTATAGTCAAAGTTAAATACCAAGAGACTGAAAAACAGTTGGTTATGCATTATGTAAAGTAGTTCATTATATCAAATGAACTGTAGTCAAGATTTGACAGAATAGTTCTATAATATTTGGGCGCCGAGTGAGAAGTAGACATTTGTAAAAAATTATATTTGTAAAATCTCAGCGATATTGAAATGAGTAATTCCAACGTTTCGTTCGGAAATCTGGTCCGAACTTCTTCAGGGAAATTAATCGAAATTAACATAACAGGTTTATATATAAAAGGAACATCTTTAGTTTTTAAAAAACTTTGTCCAATCATGATTTATAAAACAAATATTAACAAGTATAATAAACAAAATGGAATTATCATTTCAATATCGCTGAGATTTTACAATAATTTTTTACAAATGTCTACTTCTCACTCGGCGCCCAAATATTATAGAACTATTCTGTCAAATCTTGACTACAGTTCATTTGATTTATTTTGTAATCGAATTAAATTAACAAAGAAACTATGTAATTGGCACAATCATCGTGTTTCCACTCTCCGTTGTCTGCAGCAGAATGCGTATCCTAAATTCGTAGCTGTCCAGTCACCTGACAACTTCAGTAGGTCGAATAAAGCAGCTCAATTTTCAGAAAGAAGACAAAGTAATAAGTTTGACGGGGTTGTTCAACTAAACTCTAATCCTAAACACCATAATTTCGAAAATACGTCTAATCATAAAATTCTAGATACTAACAGTTTGAACAGACATGAAGGTGTGATGTTAGATGACGCATAGGAAATCCTGATTAATAAATAAGAATGGATATGTATCACTAACTAATAATACTTGGTCAAAGTTTCCCGACTGTCTATATCTACTTATGGAGACGTTAAGACATTGTTTTACAACTGTTTATCCGCACACACACACACACATACACACTGTGATTAAAGTGTTTAACAAAGGTAGATCAATATTTGTAAGTCTGAGGTCAAATTTTGATCACAACTCGTACAATTTTGTTTATTATACTTGTTAATATTTGTTTTATAAATCATGATTGGACAAAGTTTTTAAAAACTAAAGATGTTCCTTTTATATATAAACCTGTTATGTTAATTTCGATTAATTTCCCTGAAGAAGTTCGGACCAGATTTCCGAACGAAACGTTGGAATTACTCATTTCAATATCTCTGAGATTTTACAAATATAATTTTTTACAAATGTCTAGTTCATTATATATAGAAAGTTATTCTTCATTACTTTGTGTCCCCAAAGGAACATAGGGCCTGAAGCTGTGAAGTTGCAGTTGAGATGGTGTTGTTTTTCACGGCGTGGAGTTGATAACCTCACGCTCAACCTTCCTTCTTTTCTGGATTCAGTGCCGGTCAGTAAACTAGATGACGGTATTAGGATTGGGTCGGCCGGAAATTTAACCCTGGACAAAGTACATGGTTGGAGAGCAATCTATCACCTTGATATGATTATGAGCAATAAATTGTGCTCGAAACGTCATCAGTAAACATTACTGTATAACACTGTGAGACTTTATCAAAAACAAAAATATACCCATAATGGAATCTATCACTGAACCACCGAGGCACACATAAAGGTGTAAGAAATCAATACAATCACTAAGTAAGTAGAACCAGTTTGGAATGCTTTTCCTCCGTGTGTTTTTTTTTGATACTATGGTTTGGAAATGCATTTTTAGCAAGCCTCAATATTAAGAAAGAAAGATCTGTGTCAACACAGTTTGAACTACAGACACTCCTTTTACCTTATATAACGGAGGGAATGGATAAGGTTTGTTTTCCGACAGACAAGCATCCAACTGTAGAAATTGGTCAATAGTCCGTTCTGTGAATGTTTTCAGTGATAAACGGTTCTTTAAAGAGATCCATCACACTACATCTTCTAAGAAACAACATATCAAGGAAAGGAACAACACCTAAACCTGCATCAGTGGTTCAGTGGTAGGATGGTCTCCAATCATGCATAAGATCCCGGCCAACGTACTCTTCAACCTCGATTAGATGGTAGCAACCAGGGTAAAGAAGGAAGACTGGGCGTGACGCTAGCAAACCACCCCGTAAAAATGCCCCAACCGCTAATAAAACTTCAAAGTTGAAGTTTAAAGCCCTTGGTTGCACTCGGAACACATAGAATTTATAAAAAAAATTTGAGTGCTTTAAAGGATGAATGACAGCTATTGAATAAGGGTAAAGTATCTTTGAGATCAACAATAACAACAGCAACAACCTTATCATATATAGCGAAAATATTCATTCAGACATCTATAAAACACAAAATAATTGAGCAAAGAATATCCTTTTCGATAATTTCCTCTTCTGGCACTACAATTATATGCATATGTTTATATACACAGAATATTCTAGAATAGTAGTATGCGAAGAACTCATAGGAGGAAACATCGATAGTGGCGTTCCTATATCTTTTATAAAAGAGCTTCTCTTGAAATGTACAATGAATGTTCCCTTTTTATTTAATAAGACAAATTGATTGTGTGACAATGGGGTCACCACTAGGACCCATTCTACCCTACACTTTCCTCGCGAAACTAGAAAATGGGCCTTAGAAGGATGTTCTTGATGAACTATGAATTCTATTGTCGGTACATGGATGATACACTTTTGATTATGGAAAATGAGGATGAAGCAAAGAACATCCTGGATAAATTTAACGAGGTTCATTCTACAATAAATTTTACTATTGAGAAAGAAAAACACACCAGTATTTCATTTTTAGACGTCCTTATGACCAGAAAAGAGGATGGAACAATATGAAGAAGTGTTTATAGAAAACCTATATTAACGCATCGACATACTCATTTTTTCAGCTTCGTGCCCTTAAAATACAATCGTAATCTGATAAAGTGCTTGATTCACAGAACAAGAGCAATCTGCTCGGATGAATATCTTGATGAGGAACTTAATAATATTAAACGGTTGCTGAATGAAAACGGTTATCCAGAAAAGTTTATTGATTAGAATATTAATCTAAAATCAAAGCAGCCCAAGGTTCCAACAGTTCCTAAAAGGCCTTTTTCTTACAAATGAAGTTCCTCGGGAGATAACATCAGAGAGATACTAAAACAGCGCCTTAGAAATGAGGTAAAAAGGGCATTCGCTGCTGCCGAATTACTCTGTGTCGCCAAAACCACCTTTATTTTGCGTTCGGGAGTAAAAGACAAACTGCTTAATTTTGCCTCTTCTATGTGTATCTACCAATTCAACTGCTCCTCTGGAGACAGTTACATAGCCTGTACAATTACGCGTCTTTCTCATCGAATTTCCGAACATTGCCCTGCATTGTGGTTAAGTAAATAAAATCTATTCGAAGCACCATTCTATCTCACCTTGTGGATACAACAGAACACAAGATTGAAGTTAAGCATGTTTTCACGGTCATCTACCGCATACCAACAAATCTCAATTTCGCCTTGACAGTTCGACTACTAAATATTGCTGAGGCCGAATGTTGGGATCCATATTAACAAGCCTAATTTATGCGTCTAAAAGAAGTTAGATCAGACATTATCCCCACCCACTTGGCCATCTAGGTTTGAATGATCCTGAATTTTGTGGAATTTTCCTAATTTTAGTTGATATTCTATTTGCTATTATACTTTTATTATTATTGTTATGATTTATGCGTCTTTAATAATTTTTTTTAATTTTTTTAATTTATTTTTTTTTTTTGATTTACAGCTTGATTCCACACTGTATTTTTGGTACAAGTATGTAATTTTCAGCATGGATATCGGTAGCCCAAATAATAAACTGTAATTCCATTGATCTTACTTTACAAATCGATATTATTTTAAAAAACTAACATTGTTATTGACTACTAATCTAGAGTATTCTATGTATATAAACATATTTAATTGTAGAGCCAGAAGAGGAAATTATCGAAAAGAATATTCCTTGTTCGATTATTTTGTGTCTTATCTCATATGACACACTTTTTGTTTACATATCTGCTGTACAGTTTTGGATAATATATTCGTTGGAAAGAATTCAGGATGAATGTAAACTTTTAACAAATAAAGAAATACAATTTAGGACTTACGTAACAGCAATAAGACGACCACATGAACTAAATGCAAGACTACGAAATTTCAACCCAGAATGAGATTGAAGAGCTAGCTCAAAATAGATCTTCAATGGAGAATTAACAGGAGCTAATGGCCATAAACGAATGCATCTTTAAGTTGAAAAACAAGTAAGCGAAAAAACAATAATGATGATAAATTGTGAAAGGTGACATTAAATTTGATTGTAATTTAAACAAAGGAATACATTGTCTATTTACGTCACTAATCTTAATTGGGTCATTACTATTCATGAAAAATTCCCATTCGAACACTAATAGACAGAAGACCAGTAGTTCAGAGAAGAGTCTCTTTTCGGAGACTCCATTTTCATAGCTGCACAATCGTAAATATATATGGTTGGGTTCCGAGTGGAATAAAGGACTTCAGCATTATATCTCCAACTTCACCCTGTTGTCTGTAGTTCTTTTTCTAGCTGACTTCACGATTAGACATAAGCTTTTACTTTCGCCTAACACGAACTCAACGATGTATCCTTCGAAGCAGGCCCAACTCGTCGTTTTCTATTTGTGTTCCACTCTTGGTGGTTTGTATGGCGTGTGATATCATCCAACGGTCTCTCCACAGAGTGTATCCAATCCATCTTCACTCTCTTCGACATAAATATTTGGCAGTAGGTGGTTGTTGGAAGATTCGTTAATCGAGTTCCTTGTTGCTTATTCTTTTTGGCCATCTGACCATCAGTGTCAAGCTAGCGAAGAGAGTAGTTGTTGATGAAAGTCAGCAGTGACCTATTGGAAATGCTCCTATTGACGCATGCGCCAAGTCTATGGACTATGTGGAAGTAATGTTAATCACGACAGACAGACTTTATTTATGGTAGTACAACAATCCATATGACCTTACCTTGGTGTTGTTAATGTCGACACAGAGACATGTGACAGTTCACCGATCATTATGATCTGATCTATCTCTCGTGATTACTGTTTAATTGTTAATGTAAACGCCTACCACTTATGGATGAACGTTGTATTCTGTCTTTTCTACGTATGTAAAGTAATGTGTTAGTCATTTTGTTCCACACGTCATTATTGCTCGGTACGTTTTTTTACCCTTCTTTAAATGACAGTTGCCCTTGTAATGTGATGTCACATTTGTGTAATCGTATTATTTACTTTATATTTTAGAAACAGATCAAGTTTATGTTAAGTCACCTGAGTTTCACGTACAGCACGTTCCCAGACTCTGGATCGTCTGTATCGATAGTGAGAACAAAATCTTTATTCGAAATTAATCCTATAAGCAATAGCCTAATTATATAAACTGTATTGATGCAGAACCCTGTATGTTGAACGAACAGAAAGAGATCTAATAGGTAATTCCATATTAGTTTGTTTATTAGATGTATCACACAGTGAAACAGTATTATTTACTGGATGACGAAGTTTCGAACAAAATTTTTTGTTCATAATCATATCAATTATACTCACACAACTTCGAAACTTGAGTTTTATAGTGTTTTTTGTTCTCTCCTATTTTTCGTCTTAGGGGTAGTAGAATTTTCCCGATATCTGGGACAGGTGTTGAATCATTCCTATTACATGTATTTGCAGTTGATTCGATACACAAAGCTTCTGTTCTTTCCTCTCCACCCTGTGACATTAGATTTTAAAATTGTCATCCTATCCCATCATATTGTATGGTTGTATGTAACTGCATGTAGTGCTATAGCTGAACTATTCTCTAGATTTCTTATCTTATTTGGGTTAACCAATCTAGATTTTGCTAGGTTTTTATGTTCGGCTAGTCTGACTGTCCCTGTTCTACTAGTTTGACCTATGTATTGCTAGCCTTATGTCCAACCTTTTCTCCTTACCAGCATTATTTCTGGTCTAGCGAGGTAAAGGAGTGCGTCGGCCGGGGATCGAACCCCAGACCATGTGCATGGTCGGCAAGCGGCCTAACCGCTGTGTCACCGACGCACAGTTCATACCGTACTGCGCACAAACAGTTTATATCAGACAAACATAAAATGATGCTGCAGGACTGGACTGAACCGACTCCTAGCTTAAAGATAAGAAGTCAAGTAGTATTTTCCCACGTATCATGAAATATAGGCTGCTATTGAGCTTTTTATTTCCAGTAGACATACAACAAACAGTCCTAAACACTACCGTGCACCGCTGTAAAAGTGAACATGCAGTGACGTTATATAACGGCAAAAGAAGATACGCTTGGTAAAGAAATGTTAATTTGGAATTTGGTATCTCTATACAGCCATAATGGAAAACTCGGCGTTTAGAATAAACACAGGAGTCAGACAAGGGTGCTTATTATCACCAATGATATTCCTAATTGTGATGGACTGGATTACGCGTCAGACAGTGGGAAACGAGAAGACAGGAATATCCTGGACCGACGTAAAGAACCTAGAAGACCTAGATTTCGCGCGTAGATGATTTATGTTTGATGTCACACAAAATCAAAGACCTAGAAGTGAAAACCGACAAACCGGTTGAAGAAGCAGCCGGCCAAGACGGGACTCCAAGTGAACATAAACAAGACGGAGGTGATGAAAATAACCAACCCAACAACAACAACAGCAACATCCAGCGCCAATCACCATCAACAGGAGGGATTTGAAAGAGGTCACTTCATTCACTTATCTAGAGAGCATTGTCTCGACTACAGGAAGTCGGAACGGACGAGGTCGTAAAATCGAGCGGGAATCAGGAAGGCGAGAAACACATTCATCAACCTGAAACCAATCTGGAAATCTTCGTCACTCAGCATCAACAACAAAATTTAGTCGGATTTTCAATACAAGCATCAAGTCAGTTGTTCTATACGGATCAGAAACTTGGCGGTGGGTCACAAAGAATATTTCCAACAGCCTGTTGCAGACCTTTATCAACAACTGTCATAGCTCTATACTGAAGATCAGATGGCCGGGCCGGAAAGAATCACCAACAAGAAACTATGGGAACAAACAAAACCAGAACCAATCGCCTAACAAATATGCAGGAGAAAGTGGAGATGGATCGGACACTCGCTGAGGAGACCACTGGGTGACATCGCACGTCAAGCCCTCGAGTAGAACCCAAAAGGGAAGCGGCCAGTGGGTCGTCGGTGCAAAGGTGAAATGGAGGAGATCGTGTGAAGAGGAGTTGAAACAGTATAGACTAGCATGGATGCAGGTGAAAAGTACAGCAGAAGACAGAAGCAAGTGGAGACGTGCAGTTGAAGCCCTATGTTCCACTAGGAACCCAAGGGAACAATGATAATAACAATATCTCATCGTCCGGACGGGTATACACTGTCTGGAATTATTGCTTTTAGTAGTCCTAATATGCTTTAGAGATTATATACATAACTATATGGTATACGGATAGTCCTATCTGACCCAAGGGAGCAATAATACACAGCCAAATTATGTACGCTTTATCTTCAACGCACCAATTGCAGAGATCGTCCATGTTGTGCTACTTCTGGCCTTTATATTGTTTCTTTGTGTTCATTTCACGTCTTCCATGTATCCTTTACTTTCGCTGACATCAAATCTATCTCCCTGCTATTTGTTTTCACGATGATGAACATCTTTATATATATATATATATATATATATATATATTCCACTGATAAATTTTATCAGTAGCACACGCTACAACACTACGCCATTGACTAAATAAACTTGTAAAAACAGAACAATTAACTATGTTTCGTGAAGAAACAGAAGTTAGTTAGAGGTAAATGAAAACCGAAGAGCACTGGAGAGCTGTTTTGTCCTAGTTCTCAACTCTTCATCAGCACACACCCGCTACCCTGCCAAGGGGCGAACCTGAAACCTTCAGATCGCGAGACCAAGCTTGCTGACCATTCAGATACTGGGACGCCTAAAATCTTTATCAGTTCATGATATAGCGTTGCCTTCAAACAATGACTCGTCACGATTATTCAGTACAGCTTTGGGACATCCATCCAGTAATTGTCAATGAGTTGGGGATTGATATTTAGATTATGTAAATCACTGACTAATAAAATCAAATGACCAAGAACTGTGAGAAAAGTGTTACAACCATCTAAAACTGCCGAATTCAATAACAATGCTTCAAAGAAGATTAATTTTCAACAAAATTTGTATTTAAAGGAATAAGCAACACTGAGACGCGCTAAGAGAACTTAGAAGTAACGAAAGCTTAATTATTAGCAAACCAATAAAGGTGACGGTGTAGTTTTACTAAACAAAAGCGATTATGTTGAGAAAATGGGAGGTATTTTGAGTGATCAAACTAAATTCCAATCTCTTGGTGTTTCCAAAGACCTCAATGTAAAAGCAGAGAAACTAATGACCGACACTTTCGAAAAGCTGAAGCAAATAGGAGTATTATCATCACCCACGTATGAGTGCATGAAACCGACGGGTACCAATACTCCATGTCTTTACGGTCTGCCCAAAGTGCACACACCGGGTCTTCCTCTTCGCCCTGTTTTAGATATGTATAACTCTCCATTTCACGGAACAGCGAAGTGGTTAGTTAAGATTATGGGTCCTTTGCACAGAGAAATTGTGTAACATATAATTAGCGTTGTCTTCGACTTTATTTCAAAAATATCCGAGACTAATGTGAGGTATAAACGCATGTTAGCTATGGATGTATCAACACTATTCACTAATGTATCGCTTATGGAGACAGTAGATTACATTTGTCAAGAAATCACCGAAAGACAATTGGACTTAGGAATCCCCTTGTGTAGCCTCAAAGAATTACTTCTCAAATACACAGTGAATGTTCACTTTGTCTTTAAAGGAATTAATTATTTAATTAGTTAAAAGTAATTTTTGGAATGATTACGTAATCGCCGGAAAACTTATTGATAAAACTGTTTGTTTGAATTCAATTACTCGAAACAGACTTTTTATGTTCCACACTGTGAGCTACACCTATTACGAGAGGGTTTTTAATAACAACTGGTTGCCAAAGTAAAAGGAGTTCGAGCGGTGTTCGAGCTCGCCGTCCATCGGCTGTAAGTTGAGCTCTTCAGCCTATGTACTACATCTCACGTATTATGAAAATTGTCTGGCAAATTTAAACTACAGGAACCCATGGAATGCGAACGCACAACTGAACTTCAGCCGACCAGTCAGAAAAACCAGTGGATTTTACATAAAAATGATGTTTATATACAAGAGACATACAGATAATAATGGTAAAACACATTAAAAAGGATATTTCCCATGACGTGACTTAAACATATCGCCCAATTATAACGATGAGCATCAGTTTTTCGGCTAAATCAGTTACTATACATGTCTGTCTGTCTGTTTTCAACATAGAATTTTGCAACGATGTGCAGCAGTTCAAGTCGCCACACTTCATGTAGCACACAAAGCAAGAGAAGAAAGTAGAATGAATGCATAATAGAGATAGTAAACAGAGGTGTGAGACAAAGAAATAATAATAACGAAGAACGATATAGTTTCATTGAAAATCATAGGTCACAAGGAGTGGATGCATTTGCGCCAGCCATATCACCAATTGTTTCCAACCGTCTCGAGGACCCCAACCAGTCAGGAAGTCTACAGCTTCCAGCGTGGCTGGCCTAAACTAACTGTTGCGGATTTCATTGACTGATGAGGCCATGTTTTGGTTTGACCACCGCTAGCTCTTTTCCAGCCTGACCCCATGTCAGCTAACATTGTCCATCGAGGAAGGCGATGATTAGGCGTGCATACGTAACACATGTTCTAACCATCTCAGTTGATGTAGCTTCACAGCCTCATCGATTGATTCTCCCTCCTTACCTAGCACTCGACGCCTAACCTCAATATTGCTTGCCCTATGGTACCACGTCACACGGGAAATAGAATGCAGGCGCCTATGATCAAAGACAAGTAATCAACCAAGGTGACTGAACATGATTTCTTTTTGTGACCTAGTTATCACTCTTATCTTATTTTCCAGTCTTCTCTAGAAGCTTTCCATCGAATCACTACAGGTTCTAGTTAGGGATAGACAGATATTCACTAGAAAAATGTAGGTAATAAAAATAAAACACCCTAATCCGACTCATAACCTTGATCCTAGCATTAGCTTAAATCCTAACACTAACCCATAGACGCGACCCTAGCAAGCTATCAAGACACTAATCCAAACAATACTTAAAAACGAGAACGGGATGAAATTTGTGCCTTAGTTCATACAAAGCGTTCATAGTGGCGATATAATGATGATAGGTCCCGCTATCCAACGAATAGTATGCGTACAAGGTCAATGATGCGTTTCCCCACCCACCCCCCGCCACCTCCTAGGTCTCTCTACACTTTAACTTGGCCAACTAACTGCGTTACATTAAAAAGTGAAAATAAAAATGAGACAAGAAGGAAAACCATCCACCAATCAACCTACCTATCTTCACAAATTGTGACAAAATAAAAATCGTCAGGAGATATAACTAAACCATAAATATGATGACCATTTGATCCGCCACGAAGGGGAATACTAGGCTCACGACCCATATGCCTATAGAGAAAAGAAGTAATATCAGTAAAAGATCAGCATTCATATACATTCACATGAACATGAGCCTTATTGATTAATTGATACTGGAATAATAATAATAATAATGACAATGACACAACTCAGTATTTTTAAAGATAATGTCTAGTATGTTGTGAGTACGGAGAAGACACCACTAGGAATCGTGAAGAAACATTTAAATATAGCAAAATTTATTATAATAAAGGTTTTTGTATTTCCCAATGAATGAAAAACAAAACGATATTGTTTTTACTGACGTTTCGCTATTTCATGCTGCTAATAGCTTTATCAAGATATTATTAAACCGGAATTTATAAAATCTCAGCATATATACAACAAGGAGTTAAGGGGTGGGAAAATAGACTTAGGTCAAGTTAAAGGGACGTATAGAAAGTCAGAATAGTAATGAAGATCACTAAACCAAATAACAAGATAATAGTACATCTGTTATGATATCAAAATAAAGTTTACAGCTGTTAGTAGGGCAATGGGATATCGTTAGACCAACTGGTGAACACTATTGTAGATAGACATATAATGTCATGTAAGAAACTAGCGAATACAATATTGTCGGACCCCGAGCATCCTCTCTATACGCATCTATCTCCTTGCATTTCATCTGGAAGAACTAGAAGCAGCTATAGGAGGCTATATGCTAGGACTACCAAATACAAAAACTCCACAATACCATATCTGTCTGTCTGGATTCAACATAGAACTTGGCACCGAAGTGCAGCAGTTCGAGTTGCCACGTTCCAAATAGCACACAGAGGTAGACAAGAAGATGAGTGAAGAGAATTAATAGAGTTTGACAAATATAAGAGTGAAACAGAATGGGTAATGGTAGAAAGGAATATGAAAGATTACAGAGATTGAATACATCTGCACCATTGACAACGATTTTGAGCCATGTCACCTATTGTCTCCAGCCATTGATTCCTAGAGTCCCGAGGGCCCCAACCCGGGAGTCTGCATCTCCCTACCTGACTCAGTTTAACTGTCGAGGATTTCATGGATTGATGCCATGTTTTTGTTTGGCCACCACTGGCTCTTTTCCAACCTTCACCTATATCAGCTAACAATGCCCGTCGGGGGAGGCGGTGGTTAGGCATGCGCACCACGTGACCTAGCCATCTTAGTCTATGTAACTTTATAACCTCGTCGATTGATTTTCCCTCTTTGCCCAACACTCTACGCCTAACGTCAACATTACTTACCTTATTAAACCACCTAACGTGAGACAGAGATCGCAGACATCTATGATCGAAAGCAGTCAACCTTTTCATGTCTTCAACGCGTATTGGCCATGTTTCAGAGCCATAGAGAAGGACGGAGCGAACTGATGAGCAGTACACACGTCCCTTGGTTGATAACCGGATGTCACGCCTACGCCAGAGATGGTGTAAGTCAGCGAAAGCAGCTCGAGCTTTTCGGATCCGTGCTGAGATTTCATCGCCAATCAGTCCGTTGGTGCTGATACAACTTCCCAAGTAGGTGAAGTGGTCAACATGTTCTATCACTTCACTCCCTATCACTAAGTTAGGGGTTGACGTCGTCCAGTCCTGTAGCAGCATCTTACATTTTGCAGGGGCGAATCGCATGCCAAACATACGAAGATTGCTGCTCAAGGTGTTCAGAAGACTCTGCATACCATATCTGGCACAGCTGTTATGTGATGAGAAATCCGTTAGGTATGACACGATAAACTTACTGCGGCACTCTAACAAATAGTCCCATTAGTTTTTGTTTTCCTTTCCTCGTTACTACTACACTGTTGTTCTCATCTACAACCACACATTAACTTTATATTCCAAATCCTGTGGTGCATTGTTTGAAATGAAATACTCTACGCTGTTTGTTTTTTTTTCTAAATTTTTAATATTTATTTATTTTATTTATTTATAACTTATTTATTTTATTTTTATGTATTTTTGATTTTTAAAAATCTTATATAATTTATGAGGTAATTAGATGCAATATACTGTAATGCACGCTGAAAATTCCATACCTGTACCACAAATACTGTTTGGAATAAAGCTGTTATTATTATTATTATTCGTCTGTGTGGGGTCGTTTTTCGTTGTCAAATTGGCCAATTGGTAAAGACAACAAAACCAAGTGTAGATTGTTGGATTTGATAAGTGTATAAAATTGTAAAAGCAGTGTGTGTTTACATAATGAAATTGCTTGTCACATTCGTGTTGAATTTGTCATTTCGTGGGGGAGGAGTGTGTAGTAACTAAGTCAAAATCTGTTTCAGTCCATCATTCCTATTCAGGCAACTTGGATTCCACTTGATATGAAGTGCCTCTGATATTAGACGTTCTTTGTGATTTCTGAAGTTTTTCTGGATTATTTCAATATTGTCAAAATCAATTTTGTTGCCTGATTCTATAGCGATGAATTTTCAAATTTTTCTAGTTCACCGAGAAATCCAGTTGAACTAGAAAAACTTGAAAAATCATCAGCCATAGGTCTACACGCTATAGAATCAGGCAAAAAAATTGATTTTGACAATATTGAAATAATCCAGAAAAACTTCAGAAATCACAAAGAACGTCTAATATCAGAGGCACTTCATATCAAGTGGAATCCAAGTTGCCTGAATAGGAATGATGGACTGAAACAGAATCTGACCTGGTTACAACACCTCCCCCCAGGAAGTGGCAAAATCAACACAAATGTGATAAGCAAGTCCACTATGTAAACACACGCTGTTTTATAATTTGACACACTGATCAAATCTAACAATCTACACTTGATTTTGTTATCTTTATCAATTGACCAACTTGACAACGAAAAACGACCCCAGACAGACGAACGATGATCAAGTTAGTAAACTTTATTTTGATATCATGACAGACGTACTATTATAATACTTTGATAAAGCTATTAGCATTAGATAGCGAATAGTCAGTAAGAAATCATCGTTTTGTTTTTCATTCATTGGGAAATACAAAAACCTTTATTGTAATGAATATCATATACCCAATGACCAAATGTTTTCAGAGTTAAAAGTGAACTTGGTTTGGACATATATAGCAAAATTTAACTCGTGCATTATAAGAACTTGTATGCATCAGTCACTCTGTACAGATTTATTCACCAGACTCCGGATTTCCCTTTATGTAGTAGGAGGTTTATTATACTAAGCGAGTATTGAGGCTAAAGTAGAGTCAAACACGTTACTACTGAGCTACATAAATGAATTTCGTACATACAAATCGATTGATGTATAGATCTCAAATGAACTGAATCGTAATGATTCAGTCTTCGCACAAATCAAATCCACATTTAACTGCAGAAAGGATAAATCTTGAAAACCTATTTGCATATTAATAACAACTACTCAACAACAACAACAACAAAAAAAATGGCGACAACACTCACCAGAAACGATGTAAACACTGGTATTCAGGCACAGACCATACAGCACAACATGAATCATATGAAGCAGTAATCAATAGACTTCCATCTTTAGAATAATTAGCAACAGATATACGATGATAATGACCAGACCTAATGTAAGCAATTCGAGAAAAAGGAGACTCTGCCTAAAATGAAGTAGAAGGTAAATAATAAGGTAAGGTCATATATTTATCTATATGGCCCCATTAGATTAGTGATTAGTAATATGTGAAAAATAAGAACGATATGACAAATTACTTGAATACAAATTACTAATGTCACTGTAGGAATAATCATTAGCTGCTTTTAATAACTAAATATACTAGAAATTTTACTCTAAAACTAAAGATGTTCACATGCAGTTAGGAATACAACACATCTGATGTGTGACATGTCCGAACCTCGTCGACGTCTCAAAACCTACAAACCACTGATTCAATGTTGAGTGACCATTCCCATAAATCAGGGATTTACATGGATGATTATGTCCTGCAGAAGAGTAGGTGGGCTGAAGTGACGTAAAATGACCCTATTTTATTAGCAACAGCACCAATCACCATCAACGGGAGAGATTTAACAGCGGTCGCCTCCTTACTTATCTAGGAAGCACAGTTTCAACTACAGGCGAACAGTACGGATGAAGATGTCGAAGTCAAAATCCGAAAGGCAAGATAAGCCTTCACCAACCTGAAAACAGTTTGGAAACTCACTCAGCATAAAGAACAAGATTTGGATTTTCAACACAAATATGAAGTCGGTCAGTCAGTTCTGTGATATGGGTCAGAAACTTGTACCACGTGCCACGAAAAGGATTTCCAACATGTTGCAGACTTTTACCAACATCTGCCATCTTCGCTAGCTCCATACTTTAAATCAAATGGCCGGCGGCCAGAAAGAATTTGCAACAAGAAACTCTGGCTGGGAACAAACTAACCAAGAGTCGATCGCTCAACAAATATGTGGGAGAAAATGGAGATGGATGGATCGGGCATACGTTGAGCGGCCTATCGAATGACATAACGCAACATCCCCTTGACTGGAATCCAAATGCGAAGCGACTAGCGGATAGTCAGTGCTAGGGTGACATGGAGGAGATCGTGTGGCAAGAAGGAGAGAAGAGATTATGGTCAATCGTAGACCCAGATGAAGAGGACAGCAGAAAATAGAGCAATGCGGACATGTGTTATTGAAGCCCTACGTTCCACTAGGAACTCAAAGGAATAATAATATATAAACATAGCCAACTAAACACAATCTAAGCATAAGAAAGATATTGGAAAACTGTAACATGTACTACATGAAATTATTACGGTAGTATCACGACTTGTGTGAAGATTGAGATACCTCCCCAGTATTTATCATCTTGAAGTAAATGATTACCTTAGGAAATCACTTTCTGCCACACTGAGGCGAATTCGAATCCGATGACTGGAAGCAGAACATTAAAAACAGGGGTTTCAACAACTATTAATGACGAAAAATAGGTTTACATGCCAAGAGAGGGGGAGAGCAAATACACAGCTCCTATTTTCCTAATCATAGGATATAAATAATACTAAGATTATAAAGTACACATTCCCTGCAATGTAACAATAATAGTAAGTCAGCAAGCATATGCTAGAATCGCTTTTTATGCAGCATTGCTAAGATATACTGGTACAATTAGAAAAGCGTTTATAGAAGAAATATTTAATAAACATCGATATCTGTCTGTTTGTTTTCGACATAGAACTTTGCACAAATGTGCGGAAGTTCAAGTCGCCACACTCCGTGTAGCACGCGAAGCAAGAGAAGAAAGTATAAGAAAAGCATAATAGAAACTGTGAGCAGAGGTGTGAGACAAAGGAGTAATAACGAAGAACAAAACAGTTTCATTGGAAATCATAAGTCACAAGGAGTGGATGCATCTGCGCCACTGAGAACGATTTTGAGCCATGTCACCAATTGTTTCCAACCATAGATTTTTACCGTCCCGAGGACCCCAGCCTAGAAGTCTACACCTTCCTACGTGGCTTAGACCAACTGTTGTGGATTTCATTGACTGGTGCCAAGTTTTTGTTTGACCGCCGCTAGCTTTTTTCCAGCCTGACCCTATATCCGCTAACATTGCTCTTTGTCGAGGGAGGCGATGGCTTGGCATACGTAACACATGTCCTAACCATCTCAGTCTTTGTAGCTTCACGACTTCGTCGATTGATTTCCCCTGTTTACCTAGAACTCTACGCCTAACCTCAATGTTGCTCACCTTATTATGCCACTTTACACGGGAAATAAAGCGCAGGCACCTATGATCAAACACAGCTAGTCTTTTCAATAAACATCGATATGAGAATTTCAAACAACTCTAGACACAAACAATTAGTATATAATTCAGTTGAGTAAAAACTAAGTAGAAAAGATAATCATTCAGAACAAGACAACAACAACACATCGAAAATCATACTTTCAGAAGACTTCTGATTCAATTCCGATTGCAGCATAAATTAATCATGGCTACTATATATATATATATATATATATATATATACTCATTTTCACTAAGTGACATTCTGCTGCACATTTCGTAATGATTAAAGACCAGTATTTTTTAATTCTCAAGTATTGGTTATTGTAGGGATTTCTTTTCTATTGGTTGGAGGATTTCATCATGAGCAGACATCAGTTAGAAAACCATTGGAAAACCAACTGAGAGTACTGGACAGCTGTTTCGTCCTAGTTTTGGACTCTTCGTCAGTACGCACCCACCGGGGCCCGAGGTTCCAAGTGAAACAATACGTCGAACGAAAATAAATCCAAATATAACTCGAGGAAATTTAATTACCTGTCATCCTAATTTTCATGAAAACCCGCACCTTAATGAGAACAATGGCAGCACTAGTGAGATATAAGTTAAAATCCATATACTGTATAATACAGTCATTGTATTTATATGTTGTTTCTCTGCAAGTCATTTCAACCTGACTGTAGACTCAAATTATTTTAGAAAATTCGCAATATCTATGGTCTGAATATTTATAAACTTCAGAGTACCTGAAAAACCTAAGGAATCGATCAAATGTGATTTCAATATATATATATATATATATATATATAATATATAATATATATTGTCATACAGCAAAATCAAATATTCTGAATACCAAAATGTTAACTCACTTCAAGCACGACAGCATGACCACGTTCCCCCGCCAAAAATATATGTTTACCATGAGGATGCCAAGCAAAAGTACATGCTTCACCTTGAATTTCACCAGGTGACTGATTATTAGTAGTAGCAGTACAGCTTGTTGGGATGGTGAACTTATGTCGTAATTTTCCATACATATTCCCATCATCCCATAAATCCCATAATCTTACTTCACCACCATGATGTACAGAACCTACACGAAGACTTCCATCAACAGTTACTGACAGTAGATATACAAGAGTACAGTTGTCCGTAAGAACATATTTAGGGACATCTGTGGAAAAAAAAGAATTTCAAAACACTAAATGTAAGCTAGAGAAAAATAGGATCGTAACATTTACTTATGAAATGATTACTAAATTACACTTTCGTCCGAATATGATCGCTCTATCATATTCCTAATACAACTTTTATGTACATACAACCCAGAGGTTGCTCGTATGTGTTCGACCTCTTCTCTCTGCGTACAATCTGAGGTCGGATAGATTGAGAATCATTCGCACCACAAAGTATGATGTCACACTATTTCAATAATACACATTCTAATCGATGGAAAACGTAGTCAAAAGTATAAAAAAGGCATACTGCTTTTTGAATAGTACTGAGTAAAAAAATAAACATAAAAAATTACCTATCAATAAAACATTAAGTGAAAAATTACACTTACGTGGTGAACTAGATATTAGGCCACAGACGTTATAAACTTCAATCACACCAGAAGCTAAACCCAACAGTAATAGAGAAACCTGAGAATCACGAACAACAGATGATCTGCGTTTATGAGCACGATGTGGTAATCGACAAAAGGTGCTATTTCCAATAGCAAATGTCATACAAACTACATCTCCGTTAGTTTTTATCCGAAATATTGGCTTCATATGTACAGGTGATGAATCACCACTTAACAATTCCGATGTTAATGACTGCCAATTAGTATTGGTATCATTTGTATCAGAATTTATTGATTCACCATTGCTAGCAACTTCGTCTGACAGTAAACTTGAGGTATGACAGTGAAGAGACAGGGATGCTCTGAAGTTATTTTCATCTAAGCAAGTTGAACTGTACACAGATATTATCAAAAAAAAGAAAGAAAGATCAGAAGCTACTTGATCAAATATAAAATAAGTTGTATTCACAACTTAGAACAACCAAATGAATCATTTCCAAGAGTTAGTTTGTAGGGATTTGACTTGTTTCAAGTTTGACTACACAGATCGATATTAGTGAGAAAACTACTGGAAACCAGGGGAAATGGACAGTTGTTTCGCCCTATTTTTGGACTCATAGGCACCCCAGTGAGTGCATACCGCTGATGAGTCCGAAACGAAGACGAGACGGCTATCCAGTACCCCTTGGCTTTCAATGGTTCTCTAACTGATACTAATCCGCGGCCAAAAATATGAATAAAGTTTCAATACCAATCCCCAACTAATGAAAAAAGGCTGAAGAAATGTATTTTCACGCAGTTCACCCCTTTAAAATTCACAGTTTAATGAATTTGATATCACAACAATTCGCCTTAATCATCTAAATTAGTAGAGGTACACCGTTGATGAGTTCAGGTTCTAACCAACGGAAGGGCTCCCTCCAATGTTTACTCCATTAAAAAAATCGACTAGCTAGTACTACTCCTAAACATCAGTAGAATACACTGCATAGTTCTTATTCTTGTCTCGACAGATGTCATTCATAATCTCAGGTAGAGCCAGACTTATGATCTCGGTAGAGAAGCTTACAATGGAAACACCAGACATTTAAACTCAACTGGAATTGGAAAAAACGACTTACTAGGACTAAATGGATATTGGCAAAAACCTTGTTCCCCCAAAAACGTTGTTGGTAATAAGTATGTAACAGAAATGCAAATGCATTTCTTCGTTAAAAAGAAAATTGGCAGAAGTTAGAACTCATGCACTGGCAACTGGATTGCGTCCTAGTGGCTTAATGGTTTACGAGCTAGCTCGCCTTGTAACCAGAAGGTCACTGTTTTGAACCCCGGCGGGTGCGTACTGATGAAGAGTCTAAAACTAGGACGAAACGATCGTCCAATACTTCTGGGATTTCCAATGGTTTTCTAACTGATATCAGCTTATGATGAAATCCTACAAACAATCAAAATCAGCCTAGATTGTGAAGCTGAGAATATGTGCAATCACAGACAGGACTGCATGCTTATCATTGGTCTTCTACAAAACACTTTGCACATTTTTGGGATTTATCTACTTACTCTTTCTTTTCACTCATATTTTTCATCTTGGTGATGCATTATTTTTCAATATTTACTTTTTCACTACATTGTCACGGACGAGGCATTTTAAAGTAAATATGATTCTATGTTGTTATCTAAATGTCCACTTTTACTGAAAATGCAGCCTTCATAATTTAGGCTGGATAGAATTATTTATGAAGTAATACACGTTTTGTAGTGTATGGATGCAGTCGAAATGTTTGTATAAAGGGAGTCATATGTTAATGATATTACCGCTGTGGTCTGTAACTAAAAAATGAAATCAAATATTCACTACAAAAATTGGAAAAAGCTCAACAAAAGTAACGTTTAGAGTATGCTAATAATAGGAAAAATTCCTCAACTGGCTATAAGACTGATTAATCAGTTCCTTTCCCTTTTCTAGGTATATTATTGATACCGTGAGTACAAAACTTACGATATTATACGCAGATGCGTAGGTCCTTTGTTTAATACAGCTACAACCTGTGTTGTGGATCCAAATCATAATTTACCGGCCAAAATTTATTCAGTCAATCGCCTCTCATTATTACCTTCACATAAAATGCATAATACAAGCTGACAAAAGAATACGCATTTAGCCGCTAACTTATACAGTAATTTACTAATTTATTTTAACGTTCTTAACTAAATGCACGCATCAAATTATGAAAGAGAAAAAAGGAAAAATTATGTAGGGATCCCAAGTCAGTAGAGTGAGAACCATTTAGCGAAGTAAATTTAACTTATGGCAAAAAGTTAACGCCAACTTACATGAGATCATTAACCCAGTAACCCAAAACAATTCTTGGTTCATCGACAAAGGCAAAGAACCGACCGCATTTAGAAAAGCTGCAACTTGTAACATTATTTTGATGAATTCCCTGATAAGCTACTGTTAGACGTAATGGAATACCATCAAAAGCTGTAAGCAAATTACACAAGATAGCATGTTACCTTCTATTTAGGGGAATAATCGCTTATATTAACAATGAGAGGGTGAAAAACAAAATAATTAACTGATGAGCTAAAGTCGTTCATGAAGGATAAAAGCTAGTATACGAATTACAAAAGAATTCTTGAGGAAAAATTAGTGGTGAAGCCAAGGCAAAAGCACTACACAAAGGAATATTTCCGGTATAAAACCTATTCGCCTGCATATTTCCTGATAGTTAACATAAATCAGTAAAAATTGAACCATGATTAGCAAAGTAGCTGCTTCGATGATAAAAGCTCATATTAGTTAACAATATTGAGTAAATCCAACTTATTCAGATTTATCAATGTAAATTCAAAAATTTTCTGAATAAAATAATCGGTTATCATCCTATGATCAGCAACCATACCTCTCTGAGTTACGAACTCGACATAAGTACAAACAAAACTATCAAATATATGTGCTCATAGTATTTAACTAGTAAAGTGACGCGCAGTTTTTTTCTTATCCAACCAATAAATTTGCTTTTTTTGTTACGATGCAATCATTGAGGTGTGACGAGAGTCGATTTCATTACAGCGTGTCATGTTTTCAACATCAGCGTAAATACCTACTCCTTTTAAAGATTGATAGTATCTGAAGCTGTAAAAAGATCAAAAACCAGTTCGAAATAAACAAAAAAATGGCTAACAATAAAAACTACTTACACAAACTAACATTGCAGCTTCATAGATGAATACTTTCATGGGAGATAAGTAGGTTTAGAAAAATGAAATAGAGAAGGTTAATATTGATTTAAGGTTAATATATGTACAAGATTCTAATGGTTATAGGTCTTATTTTAGGACTAGTTCCCAACCGAATGAATAGTCATTGTGTCAACTCCATGGAATTGCCGACTACAGGGTTTCAGGAATTTCAACAAAATGATTATGATAGAAATACCTTCCGAAAATAAACTTTTTAAATGACAAATCAAAAAATTTATATTGGAATCTAAAAAGAAATGAAATCACAAATATGATCGTGAAGTAAGACCTAGTAAGATATATACATATATATACACACGTGAAGTAACTAATTCCCTGTACAATTCCACAAGTCAACAGATAGGTGCACAAGATTTCTTAAATTTCAAGGTTAATTAGTAAAAAACGCACAAATTTATGTAATTTTTTCATCACTAGAACGTGTACATATGCTCCAGTTAATTGGTAGAAAGATGACGGAATAATATTATTCCGTTATCCTTATAAGGATAAGATTGCACTTTGAAACAACTTACAGCTTCCAACCATTTGATCTATTTGAATGAACCGTAATCTCACTACCAAGCAAGCGTATAGAAATCAATCTATTTAACGCTAACTCGGAAAAACGATATTGGGTCAATGGAATTGAGAATTATGACCTACAAATGACCTTGTAAAAGTGAATACAATGTCCAATTTCATTTTGATAAACCTGTTAAGATCTATTCACTTCTTGAAACTGATTTCCTGTTCTTTCGAAACAATTCTAAATCTTCGGCGGATCTAGGTGTTGTCTTTCTTGATTGCTGCAGCTTTTATACATACCGTAAGAAAACATATAGTGACTGTGCTGGGACATTCAATATCCTGATTACGAGCTAGTGTAATAGTGTGATTTTTTGAGCTCGCTTCTTGATTGTAAGGTAGAGGTTCCAGATCTCCTTTAGCTTCTGCGTAGTAAGTCCCGCCACTCAACTGCTTTAGCTCTGGTAGACTCCAAGAGGAGTGGTGCGGGGATTGGTCAAAATGTGGTTTGTAGTATGCAGTGTGTTAGGACTGTGTTGCTTCCGTGAATGGAGTTTGACCTAACTCACGTCGGTCATTCGGTGTAGTCATAAAAGAAGAATAGTAATAATAATAGGTTGTAGTGTAGATAATATGGGTTGAGATAAGTGAAATAATAAAGGTGACCTAAGGAAAAGGTAGAGTAGTCGGTGCAGTGAGAGAAGGCAGAACAGGTCGTGGGGATTTAGTTTGTATGCTTATCCATTGACATTTTGGTTTTAGGTTTTATGAGGATAAGCCATTGAGACACAAACCTTGCATTTTTGCATGATTGTCCAGCTTCCGCTTAAAAACCTCCACAGATGGCGCTGTGGTCACGGCCGCGGTAAAGCGTTCCAGAGACGTCAAACTCGAAGCGAAAAGAAATGTGAGCGCATTTGAGTCTTTCGTCCCTGGTGTGCTATCCTTAGCGGGTCACCTCGTGGAAGTCTACAATCATTTAATGGCAGGATGCTTTTATTTGGGTGTTCCTGGTAATTTAAGATCTTGTAGACGGTGATGAGTGCCTACGGTAACTAAGTGTGAAAAGACTTGATTGATCAGTCTTTCCTCGTACGATTTGTTGCGGAGGCCGATCATCCATTTTGTCGCTCGTCTGTGGACACTTTCTAGAATTTTAGCATCCCTTTTGCGTAGCGGAGGAGCAATGATATTATGCATCTCAAGGTGTGGCCTCACATGTCTTGTATAACCTTAAGAACAGTTCGGGGGTGAGAGACATGGGAGCTTTCTACTAGACAGCTTTTTGATGGCGTTAGATGGTTGGAGGCAATCGGCAGGAAGCCTTGGACCTAGGCTTCGTGCTAGTTGGCACTCATCAGCAAGGCGTTTCTGAGAACTTGAAGGTCCTGGGCTTCCTGCCGACTGCCCCAACCATCTATTACCATCAAATCAATGTGAACATGATGGTGAGCTAGCTATAATGGTGGTCACATTACAGCCTGACTGATAGAATTCAGTCTACCCCAATCAGAGGACTAGACGCATCACACCACTAGTGTCAAATCAAAATAGGCAGTTTTTTTAGGGCTGAGAAACGCCCATGGAGCCAGAATATTGCGGATTTAGAGATTGTGTAGACTATGCAAGTGTAAGGTAGGGCAAGTGAATTAGTTGTAACATAGTTGAAGCATTGGAAACACAGCACATAGTGCAGAAAGGAAAGTGAAGGAAAAGCAGGCTAGTAGGTATAAAGAAAATAAAAAAAGAATAAGACAAAAAGACATTAATAGAAAACGGGTGTTTGCGACACCAGGACAGCCACTTGGAAAACTATTCTACTTCCACCTCCTCCATAAATCTGGATTACTATTCTACCTCACCAATGTATTGGCTGAAACTCCTCTTGAAGCTATTGGTTGATGAAGTGATTGCCCTATCCACAGGCAATGCATTTAACAGGTGGTACACCCTAAGAGAGAAGTTAGTTCTGGCATGTACCGCTATCAGATGAGGGATTCTGCCAGGGTTACCGTAGAGGATATCATCGGTCGCATTCATCAGTCTGTGTAAAATTACACATCATAAAGGGGTTGCGCCTAGTTCTGTAGTACATGAAACTGTTCAGAATTGGTCTCCACACAGTCGCCATTTAATGAAACGACGCAATTAGAGACCTTCTTCGCAATATTTCTAGGAGTGGTGGTACGGTGGCATCGTGAATTACTAAATTTGGTCATACATTCGTTTTGTATAACTACAGACACTGTCCAGGTATAAGTGATCCTGGCTGCTGATGCGAAAAACAGGTTGTAGTGATTTCTCTGACTACATTTCCGGCATCCCCAGAGTTTACGATTACTTTATCCATGTGGAGAAGCGCGACGTTTCAAACTGTCGATGATTGACAAAGTCTGGTCCCGTATGAGCCCTAGGAGAACTTCCACTCCGATATTGTATGAATGGACACTTTTGGACAGTGGTTATAACTGAAAGCTGATTCATCGTCTATGATTGATTCTCCAGCTTGATCAGGTGGATTTGCAACAAAATCTATTCTTTCCGATTCCAGATTATCCAACCCAGCCTTACACGTCCTGTATACGAAAAATGCTGTAGAGCTTAAGTTATTCTGGAGACTGATTTCGAGGTTCAAGGATAACAGTGGAATAAGAATTTCCGCTTGAACAGCAAGCGCATAAATTCACAGAAATTCCGGAATAAAACTTAGTCAGACATCAATTCGAAGGCCTGCGCAGGTGTGGACCACACAGAATTCGCTATTCAACATCCTGCACTTCAACCGCCTGGGCAGTAGAACGCTTTCATCGATGACTGGAGGCTGTTGTCACATCTCACTGAGGCCCAACGGAAAAGACGGAATTTATTCGAATAGCCTAAAGCTGGAGAGGAACGACAAGGAAAACCCTTCTTAATTGTTTTAGAAGACTTTCTGCTGACAAATTAATTTCTAGATGGTTACTGGTGTGCAGCTCAGGATATATAAAATTTGGAGTTCCTGATGACTATACGGTATAGGAACTTGAGTAAGAAAGATGGGGTTCGAAAATGCTTGAATAATGAGGGGTTTAAATTTGCTTCATAAAATCCTAGATAAACAGGGTAAACTTTTTCTGAACGAATGTATTATATGTATCCATTACCTTCGTGTTGTAAATATTCAGAGTAAAGATTCGTCGGCCAATATTATAGTTCTCTTAGGGCTCGAGTCTGAAGCAAACTCAGTCAACGGAAAGCCCTAACTCTGACTCCAAAAGAGAGGTTAATGGAGCCAGCATACTTATAGTCGCTTATGTGAGGGTCTGGTGCAGAGTTGTAGGGTCTCCCCTACACGGGGCGCTGTGGTCCTTCAGAAACAGCCAGTGATTAAGGGACTCAAACAGATGAGACTAGTCATCAAGTATTGTGAATTGTAAGGCTCTCTTCAAATACTTGATGACGAATGCTCTTCTTGATGTTTGATCGAAATCCCCAATATGCTTGACTGCCAGAGTGCTTTCATAATACGTGTTTAAAATCCACGACTGTCTCCTGTGACTAAATATGCCTTTGGTCGTTAGTTTCAATGAGTGTTGTCACTTAAGCGATAATGCTCTTCACTTATTGGAGGCTGCCATTAAATAGGTTGTACGAAACCTCTCCTTTCTGAATCGCTGTCGAGCTTCATGCAAGGTGCTTTTGTTTTTCAGTTGTCCCCACAGGAGATCGACCAGCAGTCTGTTGAGCACTTTAGATTTGATTTGGCACACGACGAAACATTATTCTTTACTGTATTCAGGCGACGGATCTCCTTCTCAGTAAAGCAATATGCAAAGTATAATGATTATTTGAACCGTAAGTTCACAGTCAAGACTTTGTCTGTTGTTTTTTTACGCGTTTAACGAAAATAACGATAAGAATAAATGATAAAAATTATCTGACTTAACACTGAATTAAAAGAACTCGTCTTCGACCAATCTCACAATGACTCATGAACCTGCTTTTGACTCATGCATTTCGCCCAGAAGCACACTCTTTATAAGCGCATGCATGAATTGGCGTGGATTCATATAGATGCGACGAAAAACTGTCAAGCGGAGGTCGTACGACTGCTTTGTGGTTTCTGAACATTGTAATCCTTAAAACACTTTAATTAACTCCAACTATTTGAAGATTCTGGGTCTAATTTTCAGGCCTCTGCTTGAGAAACCTACAAGTACTGATCAAATAAACTGTTGTTACGTTCAACTAAAGTTTCACTGATGCATACCTGTGACAGCGATCACACTTTACCAGAAGTGGGTAGTTTACAATCAATTTAAGGATCGGACGTATTTACTTTTACAATTATTCAGTGAGTAAAGCTCTAGGAGCTGAATAACCTAACATTCCAAAGTAAAGCTTAAATCCGTTCTTTTCATATATATGCATATATATGTGCACACTTGTTCACGTTTGTGTCATACTAGCTGTCGTTTTATCCTGATGCATAGGTCTTCTTTTTAACTCATCATTTGGTGTATCGTAACACTATGCTTAATCCAAACTTATTGCCTGATTGCACTTTAACGTTCCTCCGTATAACGTCCCGACCGAAGTCACGGACAGAGCGCTTGAATGGCCATTTACAAATCCAACATCACAGTCAGGCTGTCATGGAGGGCACTATTCACATACGAACAAATAGCCAGCAATATGTGGTGTAACACAACCCTTATCTTACAGACATGAAGTTCCGCTGACAGATTGATACGAATAAGAGAAGATTTCTTTATTGACCAGATTCCTGCTAACTGCCCTCTCTTACTGTACGTAATACAGTATTCTTTATCATCACGGACTCGGACTCATTTTATGCAATTTTTTAGTTTAAATTGGTCGGCTAGTGAATACACAACATAGTCTAGTTCCGTTGACTCTTTTTGGGGGACCTTTGCAGACATTGTGGTAAAATATCGCTATTGACGTCGTCCGTGAATTGTAATCTTAAGAAGACTGATTATTTGGGAACAGCCGGATTTTTACTTTTGAGTTCACGAGTTTTGTTGGACATCTGCCCCTTCTTAATAGACCGCGAATATTACCACGGCCGAACAATGCTGTGTATTCACTAGCTGACCAATACCTAGTTCAAGAAACAAAAAAGACCTATTTCGCCTCTTC